CTCGAGCGGAGGCAGAGCAAACAAGCCTTAGAATAACCCAGGGTTTCTGCGTAAACCACGGTGGTTTAGCTCTGTTATCACAAAACATTTAGGTGTTGGGGCCCTGCAGGACCTATGCAAACTGTCCAGCGGATGATGTACCGCGTGGAATTCAGTGCCGGAGCTGTACCAGGCAAGGACCCGAAACCCACAGCGCAGAGCCTTGGCACGCTCTCGGCCTGGGACTCGGGGGCACACGGCCCCCCACGGGGGCCGGGGCTTTTCTCAGGGGTGTCTGTGGGTGTCTGCGTGAGACACGCTGCGAACAGCAGAGTCCGTGTCCGAAACAGGACAGATTCCGCTCACTGGCCTCCTGTCCCGGGGCCTCGGAGCAGCCAGCGCGGCGGGGGGGCCGCGCAGAGGACAGAGGCGCAGAGAGGGGTGGGGAGCGCGGCCCCCCTGCGCCTGGCGCAGAGACCCGGGGCAGAGGCCAAAATCAACCCAAACTAACAGAACGGCTCAGGAGAGCAAGGCACGGAAGTAATAATTTTCACTTATACCAACAATGATCCGACGGAAAATATAACAGGAAAAAATAGCCCGCTCTTAATAGGAGTGTAGAAGGGGGGAGAGAGCGCAGAAGAAAAATGGGCGAAGAATATTAACAAGCAATTAAGAGAAATATGCAAATAGCCAATTAACATATGAACAGATGTTCAAACTCGATACTAATCCAAAAACTATAAATTAAAACAAGAGACCATTTTCCCCTTACGAGCAGGGAGATGATTAAGAACGTGGGCTGTGCCCTCTCCTGACGGGAAAGTCAGATGACATACAAGCAGAATTACAGGTAGCGCCCCCGGGGTCCGCACGGGAGACGGAGCCGGCTCACAGCCGGTCGTCCGAGGAGCATTTAATAAAAGATTGTTCATCAGGGTGGGCGGGGGGAGGGCCCGCCAGGGACAGGGTGTCCTGGGCTGGACACTGGGTGCTGAGCGATGGAGCAGAATGGACAGGCTCGCCGGCCCCAACCGTGACCTTGGGTCTGAGTCCGGGGGGGCAGCCGCCCTCAGACCCCCACCGGGTCAGCCGGGAGAAGCAGCCCCTGGGCTCAGCCTCTTCCCTCTCAGGTCCCGCTGGGGTCCCCACCCACCCAGCCTGACCATGAGCCAGAGGCAAGGGACTGTCCCCCAGGCTCACCTCCCAGAACACAAGACAGGGTGGGAAGGGGGGGTATGCACAGGGGCAACAGAAGATGCCCAGCCAGTGTTAGGGGAAATAGAAATTAGCAACATAGTATAGATGATATATAAAAGCATATCAACTATAATGTATCACAACATCACAAGGCATAACATAAATTGGCAATCTACGCCACACGTTTAAATAGTCACTCCAGCCCGGTCGGGCGTGGCTCAGAGGTTGAGCATCTACCTAGGATCCTAGGCGATCGGGGTTCGATTCCCGGTCAGGGTGCAGGCCCGGGTTGCGGGCTCGATCCACAGTCAGGACGTGCAGGAGGCAGCCGATCAATGACTCCCTCATTATTGATGATTCTCTCTCTCTCTCCCTCTCCCTTCCTCTCTCTGAAATCAATAAAGATATATATATATTTTTTAAAAAAGTCACTCTACTGTAGTATGTCTCTGATCATTATTAAAAAAATAAAATCCAGGCCTGGCCATTGCGGCTTAGCTGGTGAGCACCATCCTGTGCGCTGAGAGGTCGATGGTTCGATTCCCGGTCAGGGCACAAGCTCGGGCTTCAGGCTTGATCCGC